AGCCGGCGGGGTCTCTGCGGGGCGGCCCGCGGGGCTCCCGCGATTGCCCGGGCCCGGGGCCCTGCTTCGGGGCTGGTTTATCCCAAAACGCTCGTGAGAATATTACGTGTGCCGGTGTCAGCACGGCGAAGGCAGCGCCAGCTCCCTGTGCCAGGCCAGAGGCCTCGGTGACGGGCGCGGGAGCATCCTACGGAGCCCGGGCAATGGGGTCCTTGCATCTTGGTGCATGTGATGAGACATTTTGGGGGAGAACAGCCCCTTTTCTCTGATTTATTAACTGGTGGCTTCGGATGTGCTTGCCGTAGGCAGGGAAGGCTGCACGGCGACGCTTAATCAGATGAGTATTTAAAGCAACAGATGCCTGACATGAGTGGTGAGAAAAAAATTCCTAATAGTAATTTAATTCAATGTTTTGTATAATTATCTTGAAGGAAAGGTCTCATTTATTCTTCCAATTAAAACTGATTAGATCGGAGGGAAAAAAGGGAAGCGAAGATGCCTGCCTCACTGATCGACCTGCCACAGCAGAATAAACAGTGGATTTTAAAAATAATTTCTTATTTCATGTAGAGATTGGACTTCTCCGACTGGGTGGCGGGAGCAGCTCGATAAATCCTGGTTTGCTCATTGCAGCCGGCTTCTACGTGCGATTAGGAGATTCCTTCGTTAACCCCATCCCTCCCCTTGCCAGCTGGGGATTTGCTGTCCCCCCGTGGCCCAGAGCATCCAGGGATGCAGCTGGTCCTGCTGTGCCCTTGGGAGCCCAGGTGGGAGCCTACGGCCGATCCGGCACCTCCTGGAGACTTTGCAGGTCTGGGGCGGTCAGGCCTTCCTCCCTGCCTTTGGGTTTTATTCCCATCAAATTGCTTTGCAATCAAACGATATCCAAGCGAGAAGTTACCTGGCTCGCGCCCAGCAGATCTCCTGCCAGCAGATTGTCCCTCGTCTGTGCCCTCCCCAAGCCGCCCCCATCCCGGTGCGCACAGAGCCCGGTGGGCATCCGAAATTAGCCCGGGTCCTGCAGGGGAGGGCCCCTCCGGGCTCAGATGGCCCATCTCTAAGGATGTAGTGGTCTGAAATGAAAGATGGTTATCAAATTGCTTGATATTTCACATCATTTTTTTAAGAAAAAAGGAAAACAGCATTTTTTTGGGGGTGTGAGATGAAGGAAAAAGCAAGTTTTGGAAAAAATTCCTCTTCAGAGGTGCTGATGAGGATTTTTCTGCCTCCTGGCTCTGCTGGGGTAGGATTTGCAAACCTTGGGGGGGCAAGGGTGGGCTCGGCACGTCCCTGCCAAAGGTTCTGTGAACAGACGAGGGGGGCAGAGAGAAAAAGAACTTTTGTCACCATCTTCTTCTGCCATGAGACGTTTCGGTGTCACCTGCAACAGGAGTGGGTGTACAAATCTTCAGACGCCCGTGGGATTTGCGAGTTGGTTGCTGCTGACAAATGCACCCGTGCACACCCCGTGCTTGCCAAGCCGGCGCCAAGCTGAGTACCGACACTGCTCGTGACACTGGTTGCTCTCTCCAGGCGGGATGGGATGACTTGAGATGGAGGGACAGGGTGGGACTGGGGCGATGTTCACCCTCTGAGAGCCG